CGTAATTCATGAATGTTTAACATATATGAGCTACAAGGAGAAAATTTTATCCAATTACACAGGATTTGGCCATTTAAAATAACATAATTTGGCCAATTAAAATTCATTCATGAATCATCCAATTTATTTTTAAATAAATTAAGATATTTTAAAGATAAATCTTAAATTTGACCAATTAAGATTCACTTATTAGTCATCCAATTTATCTATAAATAAATTAAGATAATTTAGAGATAAAACTAAATTTCAACCAATCAAAATTTAAAAATTCAAAGTCTGATCAATCAAAAAACTATTTATGAGTTATAATACTTTATCTCTAATTAAATTAACGCAAAATTTAGAAAAAGAAGAAGAAGATTTTAAAAACTTAAATTTTTTTAAAATCTCAAGAATCAAGCTCTGAAGTATTGACAAATTCTGCAAAAATAAAGAAGTTTCAAAATATGTCAATATACGTTTCAAGAAATCATTTTTCGATCTTATTCCAACTCAAGAAAAGAGATTAATTTTGTTTATTCAAAATTAAGTAATCAAGACTCTTAAAAGTAGAGTTTTATTGAAAAAAAGAATCAGAATTAATTTTTTATTTTAAAAAATTTCGGAAGATTATATTTACACGTCTAATCAGTGAAATTATAGAATTATAATTTGTCTTTGAATTTTCCCTTGCACGTGTAACTTGACCTCAAGCAGCTGCAGAATAGTCATCTCCCACACTAGCTGCTTACGGCCACGCTGTTTGGAAGGCGGCAGCTGATGACATATTCTGAAGGGGACTGCCATGTGGTCGTTTGCTTTTGTTTGTTCAAACCTAGTATATTCAACAAGCTCAAGGAATGCGTAAAAGACACATGCGCAATCAAAGAAAACAGTAAAAACTTTGTGTTTTCTCCCCTTAATTATTTAGCCAAATCATACAATTAGTGTCTTTACTTTATTAAAATAATAGATTTAATCATTCTATAATAATTTGTTAAAATTAAGTCTTTATATTTTTTAAAAATAACAATATCGGTCCATTTAGTTAAAAATTTTTTATTATCTATTTTGATATGACGTTTGTTTGGATTGACTTGAAATTTTAGTATTGATGTAATATTAAATTTGATGATATAGTGATAATAATGTGACATTTCATTAATAATATAATAGTAATACAAAATATGAGTCTATAACATGATCAATTATTGGTATAGATTTTGTAAGTGTAGATATAAAATTATCCATTGTGAACTAATAATTTGAAAGGTTGGTCATGTTGATCTCTTTATTTTGTATAAACAACAAACGGACTGACTTTTTTTGAATTTGTATAATTACCTAATTTAATATAACATTTATGCCTTTCAAAAATGATTTGAAACAGGATTAGAATATAAATAAATAAAAAATACGAATGAGTTTCTGGCATTTAGAGAAAGAGCGTTCTAAGATAAAAAAAATTAAATTTTTATGCTTCATAATTTAAAGTAGTGAAAAAAATATTGTAAAATAAATAAAAAGAATCACATTTTCTTTAACAAATAATCATATTCAATGGCATATCAGCAAAAAAATACTATGCTAGCATAAATAACAAAAAAATTTTAATATTGTTAACAATTGGACTAACACTGTTAATTTTAAAAAGTACAACTCAATTTTTATAAATTATCATACAAGGACTAAACTCACCATTTTATCAAAGTACAGAGACTAATTGTATAATTTAACCTAATTATTTTATTTGTTTAAAATTTCATAAAAATTTTAAACTCTATAATCTTAATGAACCATATAAAATTAATATTTCATAATATTTTTGAAGAATGTATAAACAATATATTTAAAATATAACTAAAGTGAAAATATTTAGGAGTTCAAAAGGACATAATTTTAAAACATAAAAAGAAAAGAAAAAAATAAAACGAAAAATATAATTTTATTTAAACCTTTTATACTCAATAAATATGATTAATACTCAAGTGTAATATAACACAAGAAGGGAAGAGCACAGGCAGATTTGTGGTTACCTAATCTCAAGTGTTGAAGAAGAACAAAGGGAGGAGAAGAAGAAAGAGAAGCACTTCTCCAACCCTTCATCGTCGTCACCAGATAAATGCAAAGCTCCAATTCTCCTTCAGCTGCTTGTAGGAAGCACGGCGCTCCAGTTAACTTCAACTTCTACCCCGTCGACTGACCCGCTCCATTTCAAGCCTGGTATTCGGGTTGGGGTCGGGCCAACTTATATACTATGCTTTATTGGATTCAAAACTTGAAATCCGGACCCAATTGACCCGCTTCATTAATTTAACTTGAGTTTGGGCGGGTTCAAGTCCAAAGCATTGGGGTAATCTCAATTTCATATTCAGTTATTGTTTTGTAAATATTAATAAGATTTATATAAGGATTTTAATTGTATTAAATTCTAATTTTATTGATTAAAATTTTTAAATTAATAATATTAGATAATTTGACGATTAATATTATAAATGTTCAATTATATACAATTAATATCATTGTTTTGGTCTCTAAAAGGGTTGGTTTGTTCCAAGGTAAAAGCAGCAAAAATTGACGGCTAAAACTTGGGTAGGTGAGCCACACAGTTTTAGCTACCTAAGCGTAATTTTCAGACCCAAAGTTCAAAGCATGAATTTGCTCTACTTGCCCATAAATTTTATATTTGAAAGATGAAAATAAAAAATTTAATATTTACAAAAATTAAATTATGATTTTAGTTTTAAAAAATAAAAAAACAATAAAATTTAAAAAAATAAAAAAAATTATTAAATTTTAAAAATTTAGGAAGAACGGAGCCCTACTAGCCCCTCCCTTCACCTTTGATTATATGTATCATAATTCATTCAGTATGATCACGAGAATTATATTAATTATTATTATTATTATTATTTCAAATGAATGTGACGTTGCTATACTCAAATTCAAACTCCATTTTACATAGGGTACAATAAAAAATTTAATAATATTTTACTGTTATAATACATTACGTGAATAGTGGTCCATGGGAAATTGAAGCATAAAACTTGACATTTTCTTTACTGTTGATATTTAATGTTATATCAACCGTTGTCTCTTGTCTCGAGCTCTTTTGTTGTTCTCCTCATTTTTGTTCGATGTACTTTGTATCCCCCAAACTAGCTACAAAATTTCTAACACGACAAGAATATAATTTCACCTAATTAAATAAAATGTTGATGTTTCAAAACTAATAATATTTTTAAATTTTAATATAAATATATAAAAATAAAAATAAAAATATGTAATATCTAACGTAAAAATGAGTAAAAATTGTCTTCATCGGCTTGAAATATATTATTATAATTGTAAAAAATTTTTGAAAATGTTATAATAAACATGTGAAAGTAAGAATAAAAATATGCGACATCTAAGGTAAAATGGGTAAAAAGTCTAGTAATCATAATTATAAATGTAAATAAATAAGATGTTAATGTAAAGTTCAAACAAGCTTTCATATAAAAATCCTTCTGTAAATGTTAAATACAATGATAAAAAAAACTTAAATTTTTTAATAAAATCAATAAAACTTAATATAAAGTTTAAATTTATATAAAATTATAAAAATATATAAATATGTGGCATAAGTTAGGTAAGAAGTATCATAATTACATATAAATTTTAGGTCCATGTCAATTGTGTCCTATGAAAAGGTATGATATTATTGTTGGTAAATTAAATCATATATAAATAAACAGATTTAATAGTTTTTGAAAATATTCAACTTTTAAAAGTCACTCAAATATTAATTTCTTAGATCAAAATAAAAATAACATAGATAATAATATTTATTGTGTTTGTTTTTAACTTTTAAATAAAATATATTTACATTTGATAGGTAGCTTTTGGGAAGAAAATCAAAAGTATTACTACTGTTTACGTAATTTTTATTAAAAATATCTATTATTTACATTCACCTCTGTATGTTTTACTACGTTATTCAAGTCAATTTATGACTTTGCTATAAACAAAGCCTTGTGGAATTATCCAAGCATATAATTCAGGCAGGCTTTGGAGGGTAGAAGTAGAATTGTTCAATAATAGTTTGCTGTCTCATGAGAATCGAAATATCTCCATTCTACTGTGAAACTGAAATTTCAAATATAATATATTGACTTCCTTCTAATCAAACCTCCAAAGGGGAAAGTGGGCAGAGACCTCAAGACTTGCAATTCAATCTATTTACTCTTGCCTTTTATGTTCAAAGCAAAATATCTCTCGTCTTTTGTGACATATATATTTATATATATATAAATTAATAAAAACATTGAATTAGTTAGGAAAGATATACAGTTGTTTCTTTCAAAGATAAAATAAATTTTAATTTAATGTTTTAAATAAAATAAATGTATAAATCGACATAAATGAACACAAGATTCCAATGGAAAGTTAACTGATTCATTAAATGTTGCAAATAAAGAATTACTATATATATTGGTAAGTCATTTTATCACGTCATCGACAATAAATTGAAAAAAAAATATAATATATCTCATCAAAGATATTACCTCATTACTTGAAATTAAGTCAAACCATTCTCACTGCATGATTAATGGAGGGGTAAAACATCCAACTTATTCAACCCAAACTTTTCTTTAAATGATGCAACGACAGTCTTTTCTTCATCGTGTATTTAACGTTGATCGCCCTCGATAGCACTAGTGCCCGATGTAGCACGTCATTAATTTCCTTTCCCAATTAGGCCTGGTTAGAAATGGTTGGTAGTTTAAAATGTTGATCGTCCGACGTAGCACGGCCTAAAAGGCATGAGATTTGCTAAGGTGGTTGGTGAGAATTGAGATACGTACAATAGACATCACATTTGAAAAGTCCTTTGGGTGTGCCAATTCTCCACCGATGCACTCTTATAAATACCCATTAACGGCATGAAGAGTACTTCACCACCAACCTCAACCTCATTAAACTTTCTTTGAAAGCCAACTCTCTCTCTTGGCTGTCAGAAAGTAGTGATACTGTTACCAATGGCTCCAACACCTGCTGATCAACAATTCAACACTGATTCCTCAGCTCTAACTGATTTTGTCATAAATCAAGGAAATGGAGTGAAGGGTTTGTCAGAAACAGGTCTCAAAGCCCTCCCCAAGGCTTACATCCAACCTTTGGAGGAAAGGATGTGTGCCAGTGCCACCCAAGTCAGTCCCCAGGAATCCATTCCCATCATCGATATGTCAAACTGGGAAGAACCCAAAGTGGCAAAAGCTGTTTGTGACGCAGCAGAGAAGTGGGGGTTCTTCCAGGTTGTGAACCATGCTGTGCCCATTCAGGTGCTGGAGAATTCCAAGATGCAACTCATCGCTTCTTTGGGCTGCCAGCCGAGGAAAAGAAAAAGTATTCCAAGGAAGCACTCGGCTTCCAGCAACGTGCGGTTTGGCACAAGTTTTAGCCCTAAAGCAGAAAAGGCTCTCGAGTGGAAAGATTTCCTTAGCCTCTTTTTTGTATCCGAGGAGGAAGCTTGTGCGTTTTGG